CTGTCACCACTCCTCCACTTGCAGGATGTGCGTCACAAGCGCGAGATGCAGGCGCAGCTGGGCAGCCTGCTGGAGCAGCAGCTGGAGCTGAAGGAGGAGGTGGAGGCGGAGGAGGCGGCCACTCGGCGGCGGGAGGAGGAGCACATCAAGGTGGCCTGGCATCAGGCGCAGGCCGCTGCGGCTGCGGCGGCCCAGGAGGACAGGGCCCGCAGGCAGCAGGCGGCTGAGGCCACGCTGGCGGCCAACAGGTGCGCCGAGGGAGGCTGGCGGGCTTCGGTGGAGGTGCCTGCCTGCCTCCCGCATCACCAGAAGCCTTGCTGCCCACCCGGCCGCCGCATGCAGGCAATGGAAGGGTGAGCTGGCTTCCCGGGCCGCCCAGGAGCGCGCGGCCGATGAGGCGATTGTGCAGCAGGGGCTAGCAGCGGCGGCAGCTGCAGAGGCGCGGGAGCAGGCGGCCCGCTCCCAGCGGCAGGCCGCGGCAGAGGCATACCGCGAGCAGGTGGCGGCACAGATGGAGCGTGAGCAGGCCAGCACTGCCGCCAGGGATGCAGAACTGCAGCGGGTGCTGGATGCACAGCAGGCCAAACGCGATGCTGAGCTGGCGGCTAGGGACGCCGCTCGGCAGCGCCTGCAGCAAGAGGTGGCTGCTGCCCGGGAGCAGCAGCTTGCGGCCAAGCAGATGGCTCGCCAAGCCTGCCAGCAGGCATCGGTGCAGGAGCGGATGCGTGCCGAGGCAGAGGCCTTGGAGGCGGCCAGGGCGGCCGAGGAGCGGCGGCAGCAGGAGCGGCGGCAGGAGGCGCAGCAGCGGCTGGACCTGCAGGCCCAGATGGCCGCCAAGCAGCTGCGGCGGGCGGCGCAGGGGGCGGAGGAGCGGGCGGGGCGGGAGGCGGAGAAGCGGGCGGAGGCAGAGTACCAGCGGCGTGTGCAGACCACACTGAGCCAGAGCCAGCCCGGTGGGCAGTGGTATGGCCTGCGCAAGCACGAGTGGTAGCAACTTGGAGGGAAACGGGGTGGGTGCGAGGTTGGGGGCAGCAAGAAAACTGGAGCAGCGGGAGCTCTGCTCCGGCGCACGCACGGATGGGGATGAGGACGGGCGCACCATAGGTGCCGCTCCTTCTGCCTGCGGCATGTGTTCAAGGACTGCTTGCGTTTTTCAACATGCTCTGTTCAACCCTAACTGTACAACTGGATCTCAGGTTACGGGAAAACGAAGGGGAGCACTGGGCGCGTCACAAAATTGGGGAATGGAAGAGAGGAAGGGTCTGAAGCAGTGCTTGACTCTGTGGCTGGGGTGCAACGCAATCCGACGGCAGGCAGAAAGAATGCAGCAAGGCAAGCAGTGGCCTCAGCGCCATACCGCCGCCTCGGGGGTGCACAACAAACAACAGTGCTCAACCACGCTCTCCGCGCAGCCGAGGCGGCGCCTCAGCCGGCGTAGCCGATGCCCAGGTGGAACTTGGTCTGCTGCCGGTCGTTCATGGCGTACTCGAGGCGCAGCGGGCCGATGGGCGTGTCGATGCGCACCC